ATCTCTGACACCAGCTGTTTTGGCTCCTCTTCCTTAAGGCCACCCTTCTTTTAATGCAATTTTCTTCAGTTTGAATGATGTCACTGACATCATACAGACAAAAATAGAAAAGAATTCCTGAAACTGGGTGATTAGATCAGTCTGTCACCTCAGCTGTTGACTCACAGGGTTTACTTGTTACAAGCACTGACCTCATTATTTAAAACTTTGACCTTGTCCCCTTCAGATTCAACTAAAAAGCATAGAGTAGGTATAATTAGGTCCACTTGGGCCAACACGACATTTAAAGAACTGGATCATGGATTTATGACACATTTACAAGTGTGGCTTAAAGCAGATAAGACATATGTAAGCTGTTTGTCGCAGCAGTTATTTCTCTTGGTAATCAACAGACCCCGTACTGTTTCCAGAGATGTAAGGGAAATCCTCATTCTGTGCATAAATACATAGTTGAGACAAAGCTTACACGAGGCTTCAGCAGTGTGAGGTTGTCCACATCGATGAGGATCTTCTGCATATTTTTAGCACAAAATTTCCTCCCTTTGTGCGACTGTCCCTTCACTGCAGCTCAGCTAGGAAATGCCCGCAGAAATGAAAATCTTGTACTTAAAAAATACCCACTTGATCAGGTTTTTTATTCCTGATTACTTACACTGGCTTTGTGTTGGGAGAAACATGGCCAGTAGGAATGGCAGGAATGATTACACCAACAATTACACCGATATAAAACATCTAAACAAAAGAATACTTTGATTCCAAATGGCTCCCAAAGTGACATAAATGGTTCATTTATAGATTTGACTGTTCTGTACAGAGACTAGTTTTACATAAGGAGGGTTGAGGACTGATGTTGGGAATTAGTCTGCAAATTTTAAACAAGGAGATTAGGGTTGTGTCCTGGGTATAGCTTTTTTTACTTCAATATTATTTTATTTGTAGGTTCTTGGTTTGATTATAGGGACCAAAAATGTATGTTTAGGTGATTGAACAAATCACTGATTTTGTTCAAATAAACCCCGGAATATCAGACACTTGTTACTGTTACGGCCTTGATCAATAGAATAATGGATTCTAACTCATCCGTGGCCATTTTCACATGTGAATAATCATTTTACAGTAGTTTCACACACATTTGCACTACTGGAAATACTCTGTGTGGTTTTAGTCACCGAAGCTGTCTGGGTAGAGCTTGCAGAAGACCACGCTGTCTGACATCATACAGACTTTTTAATGAGGGAGCTAAATGTTTTAAAGACCAGCTAATGTCCAATCTGACTTTGTCTCACATCTGCGTTCACACCTGCACTTCTTCCAGGTGATGTCTCAAAAATTTAAAAGCTGTTATCTATGTGTGAAAACGGCTTAAACGGCAGGGTCGACCCCAGATCCTTTCTGTTAAGCTCAGACATTTTGCATGTCATTTTTCACACGGCTGCAAGAGCTCACTCTGCATAATGGTTGTTTTAACCTGCAACGTCCACCTGGTGAGGAAAGCATCAACTTGGTGTATTCTGGAAGGTGCAGCTTATAAATAATTTAGTTAATACCCTCACAGTCCTTTTTAAGAAAGATAGAATTGCATGTATTACAAGTACGCAGGAACTACTTCTTCATTAAATTTAGCATTTGAGAAGAAATCGCGGTCTTTTCAGGTTGTTGGTAGTGAACAGTCATTAAGTTGGGACAAAGTGGTTCTGACACACTTACAAATTCAACAGTAAGGGTGGAAAAAGTGTCTTTAGTTTTATTTTGGCGAAAAACGTTTTACACTTTCCTTTGAAGTCTACAGGGGGTTGAGTTTGACACCTGAAAGAGAGATGTAGGGTGGAGTATCACTTCAGCTGTGACTTTTGATACCACAGCTGCAAATGTTCACACATCCCCATGGCCTCCTCCTTCTTGTCTTCAAAAAGAACTGTACATTATCCCTACTCCTGCACTGCGGGGATGAACACAGTCTGGACATGTTGAAATTACAAAATTGCTTTCATGGGCTCTCACATCATAACATGTTCTTGTTCTGTTTGAGACGATGTTAGGTGCCGGTTCAAAGAAGTAAACAGAAAACATGAGAAATTGCTGCTGTTGGCTGAAATTTTGTTGTTGTTTTTTTCATCAGCACACCAGGAGTATTAGAGTAGAAGCAGGTGACTTGAGCGGGGCCCTCAGGGAGGAGGTGTTGTTGGGAGAGGGTGGTGGACTTTGCTGCTGCACGTCTGTCAGCTTGTTCACAGCTTAGTTCGTACACCACTGCCTGCAGCCATCACACCTGCCTGTCTGTCCCACTGCCCAGATGATGATAATAGACTGTTGGCTATGAATGCACACATATTATCCTTAAAAGCCTTTTCACATTGACGGGAGGACAGAAACTCTGTGTGTTTGTGTGATGTTTGAATTTGATTAATCATTGGAGCAAACATTACATTTTTACCTGTTGTGATGTAATTGAATATTAACCTCCTAACAAAAAGTCTAATTTGTGCATCACTTATTAACAGATTTGAACATTAGACCACAAACCTCCAAAAGTTGATTCTGTTCATCTGGAGGTAACGTTTTCAGTGGGAAAACCACTGAAAACGTTACCTCCAGATGAACAGAATTTACTTTTGGAGATTTACTTACTGGGGTGATTGAGCATGCATCAAGACATTAGACCACAAAGTTAACCAGAATGTTTTAGTTTGATCATTTTCTCCTAACACATTTTTAACTAATCAACTGGTAAATGTAAATAAAGTACAAATTTTCCAGTTAAGCAATCTGTCCAAGAATAAATGGTAGTAGGTTCGTCCTATTCAGCACTGCTTTCAGATCTGAGTGCGTTCAGTTGGGCTTGGTTCAGGTTCTCTGACCGATGCACTGCAGATTGCAAATCAAGATTTTAGCTGTTTCTGGTTTAGAAGTAATACAGTGTCCTCACATTCAACAAGCACACAGATGCACAGAGCTTTTGGCTTTTAAGAAAATGTACTTCCGTTTTAGTCACACATTAGTCATCTCACTGCCATCAGTTTTAGTTTGGCTAACGAACAGCATGCTCAGGCTGCAGCTGTCAAGCTTTGATATGTACAGCTTCTGTGATTGCACATGTTGTTCGTGTTTATTGTGTGGTTAGGGGAACAGGCACTGTTTACCTGTTTGTAGTGGAGTATTCAGTGGTTCCCACATACTGTGCCCGTGTAACTTGGCTTTGCAGAAATAATAGCAGGTGATGTCTAAATTATTCTCCACGGCAAATCCAGTAGTTCTTCAGAAAACTCTGTGTTCCTGTTGTTCTGTTTTTCCTTGGTTATTAGAGATGTTATAAAGTACAATTTAAGGCAGGGGTCTTGTATTTATTTGGCTCATGGGCCACCCTCCATTAGCCAAATCAGTAAAAACATTGCATAGTAACCTGTACTTAAAAAAAGCCTCCAGAAATATCTGTTTCTCTGGAAAGGTTGAAGCACAGTACTATGCAAAAGTCTTGAGCTACCCTCCACTTTTATTCTTCGCAAGCTTTCTTGTAATTTCTTCAAATGTCAACTAAAGGTCCAATTCAGCTCTCGGGTGTCAGGTATTTCGTCAATTTCTTTCCCATTTCTTAAGGACATGACTTTCAGGTACTGTTCATTTGCTATAGATGGTTTTCTTAAGCCTGCCACTTCTGTCCTTCACTTGTCCAGTTTCCTCAGATGTTTCAAGGACCCCCTGCACATTCGGAGGTATACCGAGGTTTTCAATATTATCTCAGTGGGAAAAATCATGTGGTTGCAAAACTACTATTATATGTTTGTCAAACTGTTATTTTTGTCACTTCTAATAACATTTGCAACAAATTGTGTGACTGCTGGTAACAAAATACCTAAAAACAAAATCTTAACTGAGTTGTCTTTTGTGTGTGGACACAACACAGGTTTGTAAGTTGGTGCCAAAATGATTTGTAGATCAGTGTTAAAGTGTCTTAACAAAAAAAAAAGAAAAGAAAATTCCTCTGAAAATGGTCAGGTACAGGACTCAAGATGATTGAAAAAGCAGCCAGTTGCCAGAAAAAAAACTCTAAGAAAGAAGTTGAGGAACATAGTGAGTAAAAATCGCCAAAGCTCTGCTAACAACAGTTCCAAACCTCCACTGGTATTAACATCAGCACAAAACCTGCAGTGATTTCCATGGCTGAGCAGCTCCTGTGTTATGTGTAGGTGGAAGCACTTACATAGTGTACAGTAGTATAAATCATACGACATTATGCGAACTCTGTTAGAGCATACAAATCCAAACATTTGATTCAAGAGCAAACAGGGGTTTAAAATAAAAGAGAGACGGAGTAATACAAAACAAAACCCTGAATACTGAAACCAGAAAGCTGTAAGTAACACAGTTATGAGGTTGTTAAACTACAACTCTCACTCATTTGCCTGCATGATATTAATAAACTCAATCCATCCTTTACAGCTTTCATCAGATCTGTCCCTCTGAAGTCTTAAATCAATAAAATCCTGCGTCACGTTAGAACTGTCAACTAACATCGGTGTTTTCTCACTCAACCATGTGATGAGTGTTTTTAACTTTCAAATAGCATTATTCTAAATGCCTTTAAGTTCTGATGGCACATTCCCCAAGATTTGAAATAATCAAGCCGATTTTCTTTCTTTTTTTTTAAATTTTCCCTACCATCTCTGATTGTTAGCCAGTAATTGAAAACCCCACGGGCATTCCCAAAATACACGGTAGTGATTTGCCTTTCTGGTCCCTCTTCCCCTCCAGCACAAGCTCTGTCCCTCCTTAGAAATTAATTTTTGTACATGACAGTGAAAAATCCATTTCAACAGATGATGGAGAACCTAAACTTTCTTTAGAGAAATAAGTGAAGGTCGTCATTGTTTGTTTTGTATACGCTACAAAATCTGATGATGTGTCCTCTTGTATTTATGACTCCAGTGCAAGATAAATGACTGTTTTCCTTTGACCTTAAAAACCTGGCTTTGTGTGTTTCTCTGTGTGTGTGTGTTGTGCAGAAAGCAGATGACCGAGAGAAGCGCCAGGAAGCCCACCGTTTCCATTTTGATGCCATGTGAAGAAACAAAGCTGCATCATGGGAGACCATCCTCTCCCATCCTCCCGCGCATGCCTCTCACCTGACCACCCTTTCCTCTTCACACGTTTTCACTCAGACTCATTTCAAGGGCCAATAAATGGATTCTCGTATACCCCAAAACGTTTCTTTTTGATATTTTTCAGTCCTTGAGTCAGATGTTAAATATTTATGCTCCATTTCATTTATTCATTCCAGTTTTAGAAGTACAGGAGCTGCAACAAGGCCATAGAGACAGACAACGAAATCCTAATGGGAATCACTCTCAAGTTTAAAGCAGTGATTTCTTTGGACCGACTGTCGTTAGGAGTGTGATCGTCAGTGGTGTTATTAGTGTATTTGGATCCTTTTGAAATGCCCAACAAGTAGCTCCAATGATAAAAGCAGTTTCTTTTTGTTTGTTCACTGGGAAGGAAGCACCTTTAACATTGTGTGTATATAAATGTGCATCGTTACTTCAAAGCCACACACGTGTTTCTGTCCATTGTCTTTGCACAGCTGATGAACCTCTTGGGTTTTTTCCTGTGAAATTAAACTGAACTGATTGTATTATATTGATTCAGCCTCACAGCTACAGACAGCAATTGGTGAAAAGTGAACATAATGTGATATAATGATGCTGCAGAACATTTTTATGCTTCCGATCCCACTAAAAATAATGAATGGCCTTCATGTCTGCTGAGTGCAAGTTTGTCTCTTTTGAGTCTGTCCTAAAACGCTGCATCATGGGAGTGCCAAAATAAAGAGCCTGGAGTCTGTAAATGTCTAATTCTGCTGCATCAAAGTCCTGCAAATCATCCGACGCCTGGTTGTCCTGCTGAATAAAGTACAGTTCGCTAGTTTCATGTTTTAATTTCTGTAGAGCTGGGTGGCTCCGGTGTGTTTTATTTATATTCCAAGAATGAGCTCATGGTTTTCCATGTGGTTTGCACTTTTTTTAACAAATGATTAACTGTGGGTGTATGTAATTTATTTGGCTTGCAAATGAATGTTCAACCTACTAAATGTGTTTACTTACTAAAGTTGAGAATAAAGGTTTCTTCTGCTTAAGTCACATGTTTCTTTCCCTGTTCCACTCCTCTTAAAGCTGTTCATAAAATTATGACCCCAAAGTCATACTTGATCACTTTTAGGAATTTCCCACTGGAGCTCCTTTCCAAGAACATTTTTTTTGTTTATTTTCTTGCTGAGAAGCTAGTGGCAAATTTCCACTCAAAATAATCCTCTTTTTATGCTCTCATTATCTGAATTTGTTGCACGGTTAAATTAAACAGCCTTTAATTTTACATGAGACCCTTGAAGGTCCCTTGGAGCACCCCTCTGGGCCTGCACCCCTCTACAGGGCCGCCCTACTAAATAATGCATGAAGAGGGTAAACCTCCCCTGCATGGAAAATGAGAGTAACAATGTAGCCTTCAAGCAGATTGCAACTGATTAAAAACACTACAGTATTGATAGACAATTGCCAGCCGTCGGTGTGTGTGTGTGTGTGTGTGAGTGAGAGAGACAATGTTTGACGGAGAGATACAGTGAGGAAGACAAGGGGACTCAAAGCAGTAGGTGGTGCGCTGCACGCTGTGTTAGACTAGGCAGCAAATAAAGCGTTACAGAACCGGAAATATGATATTTCCTTAAAAATAAAAGCATCCAGTGAAACAAGCAAAAGTTGAACGTGGGGAAAACGTGTCATTCCCTTTCTTAATGAGAGCAGTGTCCACATGTGCAATATTTAGCACATTAGTTATCCATGACTGTATTATTCGGGATAGCTGAATCAGTGTTATCCCCATAGATAGATAAACAGATATTTTTTATGCTCTTTTCTCTTTAAAAATCGCAACAAGTTCGCGAGTGAAACTTTATTTTTGAAATACCTCACCGGAAAAGCTCCGTGTGCGTTGTCTGTAACTTGACCGTGTTTCTGACAAGCCTCTCATTGATGTAAGCAGCGCCCACGGCTTAAATGAGCCTCGTTCAGGAGCGTTTCTTAGTTCAGACACGGGCGGAGAGCTGGCAGAGACGGACTCTTCTTCTTCTCCACCACCTCCTGCTGTCCTCCTCCATACTCTTCCCCAGTCTCTCTGTCACTCTCCATCCATCATCCATCCGTCTGCGTCTTTTGGATACCTACCTTCCTCTCCTTACAGCGCGTCAGCCCAGCTGGATCAGTCCATCCTCCACATGTCTTCTCCACCGTGGTCCAACTGCAGGCTGCTTTTGCTGTAATAATGCCTGGCTGAAAGGCTCGCAGCGGGGTTTTTCTTGCAGCAAAGGGAACGCCGAAGAAGAGCTCGGTGGAGCGCGGCTCTGCGTAATGGATTTACTTTTGTCCAAGCAAAGTTGGATTTTGTGAAGAGCCTCGTGGACCCCTACAATGGTCAGAAAAGGAGGGCGTTTTTAGAAAAGGTGCTTTTGGGTTAGGAATCACATCGTCAGAGGAAATGCACAGAGGTGAGTTGTACAGGAGCCCCTCGGTCATCCGAGGTGCGCGTCAAGGTCTGATTCCTTGGCCACTACACGGACGACAGCACATTTCAACCTTGGATATAATGTTTAACGTTTAATCCTCTCTTTTTAGCGCAGCTGACAGTTTAACTGCAGGTTGTGGGGTTTGATCCCATCAGAATGAAGGTGCCATGAAATTCAAATAGCCTATTAACCATGGATGCGCTTTAGAATATTAAAATGCGCCTCGTTAATTTAATGTTTTTCGCTTAATCTGATGCAATTTACAGACAGTTTTCAACGGTTTTTTTTCCTGCTTTCTGTCACACCTATTTCCATTCTTCCTTTATTTGCATCTACTTGCCCTCTTGTGACAGATCTTGGTTCAAGCTTCTGCTGCTCAAACCACGCAGGTCCTCCAGGGTTTGGTTAGGTCTGATTGGCTTTAGTCGACCGGAGCACATTCGCTGCTAATTAGAAAGACTTAATAAATAAATAAAAGCGAACACCATTAATCATCTGGTATTTTGAGCATTTAATCGATAAAAATAGTTTTGTGGTTTTATTATATTGTAATGGTCCAGTGGTGCAAGAAAAAAAAACAGAATCTGTGCGGCACTCAGTTTACAATCAGTAAACAGTGGGAACAGATTTATGATCATAGTGGACAGCAAAGGTCAGATACAATTTTTTTTAAAAAAAACGCACAGCAACGATACGAGCCGTCAGCGCGCATTGACTGCTTCCAATAAGGCGTAATAAAAACAACTCGTCACAAACAGTGTAGCCTAGCGTAAATCTGTCCAGAAAAGGAAACTTAAAGCTATTATATGTTTTAATATATGTTATCAATAACCTAAAAATATATACTCTCATATTACTTTGTAATGCACGGGTTACAGCTAGGGGTGTCAATGGGTGCTACCATGGCCAGTTCCTTCTCTGCTGCGGTGGAAACGACGAAGTTTAAGAGCCAGTCACAGACGTCCCGCACACGCGCGTGCTGCCGCCGGAGCGACTCCCGCTGCAGCCACAGGATCGTGCCGTTGGCACAGGAGGCACGCGCCGGAGCACAAGGCTGCAACGCCGATTAAGTGCATCGAACCTGTCAAAGGGTCTGCATGTGTGGGCAGTTCACTGCATCGCTGAGGCGCTGAGGTTTAGGCCATGAAAACGATTTAACAGCAAAGCGAACCACCGCTAACAAAGGTGAGGAGAGCGTCACTGCCAGAAAGTAGCTTGGCCGCAAGAGGTTTGCTCAATACACGGGGATGAAAAAACAAGTTCTGGGCATGTAACTCTATCCTGACCACGTCTTAATAATAAGTGACCAGAAGATACATAGTGTTTTAAGTTCAGCTTTACAAAGAAACCTTAAAGAAAATTAAGTAGTAAAAACTACTGAACAGGTTAGAGTTCCTTGCACTTCAAAATAAAAGCTGCTTCAAGCATTACTGTCCATATTAAGTCACTAACCTGCTGTTTCTAGGGAACTGCCTTTGCTGACTTTGAGGTGTGTTTGTAAATGCTCAGATTAATACATGAAAACCAATCCTGCTTGCGGTGAGTCTAATAGCCAGCATAGTCCGGTGTGTTCCAGCGCTGTTGATTTTCTGATGCTTTCAGCACCCTCTCTGGGTGAATGTACCTCACTATTTCACTACACAGGTTACAGTGTGAGTAAAACTGAAGCCTTTTTAGAGACTTTCATATCTTATCAACTGTTTGGCAACAGCCATGATGAACTGCAGGATATTTCTGCCTGGTGTGGCCATTAAACAAAGAATTCTGCATCTCCCCCTAATATAAAGACAGTTTAGTTTCTATGTCCCTTTGCTTTGTACTTGTAGCCACAAGGGAATTATCTAATTCCCAGGCACTTCTAACTCGTGCCCATAAGTTATTCATCTTGAAGCCACACTAAATCATTGGCAGGCAATAGTATCTCATGGGCCTGCAATGATATTTCTCCCACCCGTGTAACAGGGGGTGTCTCCGTAGGGTACAGCAGTGCTGCTGATTCTGTTTCAGTTCAGAAAGCTGCGGTGACCTCAGTTTGTGCCCAGCTTCTGCTTGGCTTGGACGCCAGAGTCAATGGGATGAGATGACCCAACCTACATTTTTAAAAGAGTGCTTTATTTCATAAGATGTTAGCCCATTAACTCGTTTTTTTTACAAGTTGTGTCTATGTTCATAATCTCCACACTCCACCCGTTTTTATACACATTTGCAAGTTGTTCTCTTGATGTTGAAGTGACAAAGACTGAAATCCTGTTTAGCTGCTGATTTATTTATATTGTTTCAAAATATGTTACAACTACCAGAATAAATTATGCAACCTTTGCCATTTAAGTGAGTTTACATTTTTATAGACTTGAAACACATTTAAGTCACTGCAGCCCTCTGTCTTTACAGATAAAAGCACTCTTCTTACAAAGTCTGTGTTTTAAAACTTCTGACAAAAGGCCTTCGGAGTGTGGTGAGATTCCCACTGTGCACACTTTAGCTTTGTGGAGGGCAGCAGTGTTTCAGATATCTTCAGAATTTAGATTCTGGCTTATTCAGTGAAAAAGCCTCAGTGTGAGCTTGCAGCATCTCTCTGTTATTTGGGTGGTCTGCTCTCCAAAATTGCCTGTGGTAGTTCGTACTCCCACCTACTTCATTGCAAGATAATGGAGACAGAGGTAATGAGATCCTGAAGCTGGGAGGGAGGGTTTCTGTATGTGTGCATTTCAAAATGAGTCTAAGCATCTAGGCTCACTGGTACGTTTGTGTTCATTGCTCATGTTAAATGTGGATTGTTCTTCATTAGATACCCGCTTCTTTTCTTTTTCTCTCTCTTTCTGTCAGTCTTCCATCCGTCCTTCCTGGGTGCCATTATGCAATGTGCCACGCTCACACTTGCTCTCCTATTCGATGTGAGCGGGCCAACCTATTATGAACTCAGTGGGGATCAGGTCTACAGCGGCTTATCAGAGCAAGACAGTGTCAGAAGCTGTAACATGCGTGCTCTCAGCGCAGATATCATTGTACTACAACATATTCCATGTATTGGCCGTGTCCATGCGCTGCCCAGATGCCTGTCTTTTCATCAACGCTGTGGGCCCAGAGGCCCGGTATCCATTTTTTTGTGCGAATGCTTTATCTTTCTGGTGCCCAGAGGCTGCAGATTAGTAGGTGGAGTTGGTAGATTCAAATTACCTTTAAATAACTCTACAAGTATCATTGCAAGTCTGTTCACACTGTATAGGTACATTTAAAGCTGTGACTAATTCAAGTATTCCCACCATTCATATCTATATATAATCTTAGCTGTATTATTTCTTCATGTATGCCTTTATCTCACACTGAACTTTATCTCCATTAAGTGTTGTCATTAGCAACATATTTCTGAAGCCAACATGCCTACTAGCACTGCACTTTAGTGTTGCAGATAAAACTATTATTGCTATTGATATTCTTTTGCTTCCACGTTTCGTGTTTCGCTAAGCATCTGTGGAATTCCTGAACAACTGAAACCATTTTGATAGTCATATGTGAAAATGTACTTATAGGACAAGGTAAACAATCTTTTAGATTAATATTTATTTGACATTTTATAGACCAACA